CCCCCCACCTCCTGGAGCACATGTATAAACATCCCAGGCGTAGAAAGATGACAAAGCTAGCAATGAAAACATCTGAGAGTGTGGCTGGTATGGGAGGGGCCCAGATTGGGCATACTATACTTTGGTGATCACTGTCCAATAGGATAGGTAAAGTACTCCCTCAGCGTAAGTAAAATATAATATAACATTACTAAAGTATCTCAAATAGTACAAAGCAATACATTAGGAAATCTCTCTCTCTCTCTGGATTCATTGAATTCGACAAAACTCCTGCTGACTCTTATGTTATCTGGACATGGTCCAAAAAACAAAAAATAATTTAACAAATTCTGAGAAAACACTCCTGTGACTGTCCACAGTAAAAGGTCAACAGTGCTGTGCTATTATACACAGTACATGTATTTTTAAAAATACATGTGAAATGAAGTCACATAAAGTTGATTTGGCTTCTCTGAGGCACTTTCCCTGTAGATCACAGATGATACCATAAAACAAGTTGTGAAGGAAACAAATAAGCCAAAGACCACATTTACAGAAGTTGTCTGTAGTGCTTTCTATACCAGGCAACTGTAAATACAAATCTCTCTGCTCATGCAGAAAATGACCACTTCATTTTTTTTCCAAGAAAAGATAAATTTGAGAAGCTTTGTGATAATCTCCGAAATAAAAATATATTATATCTGCCTAGCTTTGGACTGGACCTTGTCATTCCTGTTTATGCAGCACAGGGGGTTTCAACCTTTTTTAGTAAGTGTAACCCTGGCAGCCAGACGCAGGAGGGGTGGGGGCAGTATGGCCAGATGTGGAGCAGCAGCAGCATGGGGTGGTGGGTGGCAGTGACTGTTGCTACATGCAAACTTCCCCCACTGCTGTGCTGAACCTGCCCACTCTGTCTCCTCCTGCCTGTGCATACCCCCTAGGGCCTTCCCAACTACCCCCAGGGGTACATGTACACAGGGGTGAAAATGCTTGATTTAGCATACTGTATATTTTAAAGCTTGACCCTAAGGAAAAAAAATGGCAGGTGTGTGTGTGTGTGTGTGTGTGTGAGCACATGCTATATGAAATACAAGCCTAGAGTCCCTAAGCTGTAGCATCTTTGGAACAGTAAGTAAATATTGTATACTTTGTATGCTGCTGAATACACTTATGCACTTATCCGTTTATGCTGGCAGATTATCTGCATGCTCC